ATATATATATAATAGTTTATTTTTACATCATCTTGTGCATTTTTCCATCTCAGTTATAATCCCCTTGGGCTTCCCATCACCAAATCACCCATATGCCATCACCATAGTCCAATGCATTTGCCTCCCCCCACTGTTTTTGATCCCATTCCCCGCTCCACCCCCACAAAATGTCTCTGGTATATTGCTGTCCATCATTATCATTATTTTCTCGCCTGTTCCGTTATATTCCTGCTATGAGAGAAACCATCTGGTAGTTTTCCTTTTCTTTCTGGCTTATTTCACTAAGCATGATATTTTCCAGATCCATCCATGTTGCTGCAAAAGACATGTGTTTCTTTTTTTTTTTTTTTTGGTTGCTGAGTAATATTCCATTGTGTGTATATACCACATCTTTTTAATCCAGTCATCCATTTTGGGGCATTTGGGCTGTTTCCATGTCTTTCCTATTGTGAATAAAGCAGCAATAAATATGGGGGTGCAGGTATCTTTTTGAATCAGTGTTTTTATGTCTTTTGGGTAGATACCTAGAAGTGGGATTGCTGTATTTTTTTTTTCAGACATTTTTTTTCAGACATTTTTAAAAGTTATTTTCACTTTAAAAAAAAAGTTCCAAGTGTATTTTAAATTAATTCATATATATCTGCACCAGGATTGTCCAAATGCTAATATGTTGCCAGATTTGCCTTACCTTTTTTTTTTAAAACACACTCTGGCCAGTTTTATCAAAGAAAAATTTTGCATGATTACTTTAACCCATCTACCCTGTGGTGCTTCTAGTGCTGTCTCTCACATGCATGCCCAGTTCTCTGTTGTTACCACTGGAGGGATGAACATCGGTTTTGGCCCTCAGGTATAGTAACACTTCAGATCTCCTCAAGGCTGTGTGGAGCTGGCAAGGATGACCATTTTGCTTTGCCTTATCTGATCATTTTCAGAGTTTGCTTGTTGTACCCCAGCACGTGCTTTCCACTTTTCACAACAAGCTGGAGACTAGAGTAGATTGACTCCGCACTTTTTTTAAATTTTTAAAGATTTATTTATTTATTCATATAAATAACTGGGGTACAGGCCAGAGATGCGGAGGGTGAGAGG